AAAAGTAAAAGGATGTAAAAAAGGATAAAGCATGCCAATCCTAAACAAAGGAAAATGGTGTGACTATTTAATATAGAGTCCTTGGGTGGAAGTTTGGAAGCTCAAAATCACCCAAAGGTGCCTCACAAAAAAGGCCTGGAGACTTACTTCTGAAATATCAGCCATTGAAAACCCTACAGAGCACAACTCTACTCTGACACACATGTGGTCTCCATGTGTCTGAACCAACTCTCAACAAGAACTGGTTTTTAGTCATTGAGATAGTCATTGAGATAGATAGTCATTGATGATAGATTTCATAAAGATAAAAGTATCAGTTCAACAGTCATAAATTTGAATGTGCCCACAAAATAGCCTCAAAATATATAAAGCAAAAATTGAGAGTTTGACCTTCATAGCTGGAGATATTAACCTCTCTCTCTTCTCTCTCAGCAACTGATAGACCAAGCAAGCACACAGAAGATTGGTAAGAATATAGATAATTTGAACAATTCTATTAATCAACTTAATCTAATTGACACTTATAGAATGATGAAATGAAAAACTGCAGACTACACATTTGTTTCAAATGCACTTGGAATAATCATCAAGATATACCATATTATGGGCTACAGAAAACGATTGCAAATTTTAACAGATTGAAATGGCACAGTGCATAATATTGGACCATGATGGAATTACAGTGGACTTCAATAACAGAAAAAGAAGTAGTACACATTTCAAATAATAAAAAATTAAGAAACACAATCCATAGATGAAATAAGAAATCACAAGGGGAATTTAAAACAACGTTTTAACTGAATATTAATGAAAATATGGCATATCCATCTTGTTAGAACCAGCTAAATTAGTTCTTGCGGGAAATTTAGAGCTTAAAATCTACATATTAGAAGAGAGGGTAATTTAAATTAATTCATTAATTCTCCACGTAAATATGCTAAAAAAAGACGTAAAAATTAAGGCCAAAATGGGTAGAAAGAAAGAAAGAATGAAGATAAAATAAAATAAAAATAGAACGCAATCAAATCATCAGTACAGATGACATAGTGTCAGAGCCATATTGGACATATCTAAGTAGTCAAATAAATTGCTGTGGTCCCAAGTGTGGGCTTTGGATGCATTCAACTCAGATTTGAATCCTAGTTCTTTCCAATGGTTTTATTTTAGGCAATTTAATTTTCCTGAGGTTCTTTTTTTTAATCCATAAAATGAGAACACTACCCCACATAGATGATTGGAGGGTGTAAATCAATAATATGTTACAATCATGTATTATCTGGTTTATCATAAGTACTTCTTGTTATTATTGTTAGCTGCCATCAAGTCAATTCCGACTCATGGAGACCCCATGTGTACAGAGCAGAAGATTCAAATATATCTGAGATTCAAATATATCTGGGTAACCTGGAATGCTGCTAGGCAGATATGAGGAACTGAGATGCCACCAGAGAAAGAGTTTACTCTAATGTATGAGCTACTGAAAACCATGAGCTTGATGCAGAGACAAAGAAATAAGAGGTGATTCTGTGCTCCATAGGGTTTTAAAGCTGTGACCCTTCCGAAGCAGATCACTAGGCCTGCCTTCTGAGGTCCTTCTGGGTGGCTTCTACAGTCAACCTTTCCTCCAGTAGTTGAGCACTTAATCATTTGCACCACTCAGGGACTCCTATAGTAAGTGCTCAGTGTATATGAGTTTCTTCCTTTCCTTTTTGGAAAAAAGTTAGTCAACTGGACATGTTGATTCAGAAGACCTCAGACAATTCACAAATGCACATTCAAATCAATCGAATCAAAATGAATCAATTATTCAAACCATGCAATTATTTTTCCAGAGTGTTCTCATTAAATTTCTGTTCTGGATTGAAATGTGTTCCCAAAAAATTTGTGTTGAAAATCCTAATCTCTATAACACTGCCAGTTCAAACCCACCAGGCACTCCTCAGAAGGAAGATGGGACAATCTACTTCCGTAGTGATACCGCCTTGGAAATCCAAGGAAGGATCACTGTGAGTTGGATCTGACTCGATGGCAGTGAGGTAGGTTTTTTTTTTTTTTTTTTAATAAGTGCTGGGGTGCTAACTCAAAGGTTGCTGGTATGAACCCATCAGCTGCTCCATGGGAAAAAGATGTGGCTGTATGCTTCTAAAAGATTACAGCCTTGGGTTCTACTTTGTCCTTTAGGGTCTTTAGGATTTGGAATAAACTCAACAGCAAGAGGTTTTTTGTTATAATTCCATTTGGAATATGTTTTATTTGTTATGTTAATAAGTCAATATTAGTGCGAGGATGTATCTTAAACCAGTCTCAACTGGTGCCCTGATTTCTAGCCTACTAACTGTGAGAAAATAAAGTTCTGTTAGCTGAAGCCAACCACTTGTGGTAATTGTTACAGCAGCACTGGATAACTAAGATAATTTCAATATTACAAATAACTATAGACATCACTAAATAAAAACCACACGCAGGATGTTTATTTTAACACCTCAGCCTAGAAACCAGTCAGTTCCATAGACTTTTGGTTAGATTGTTAATTTTAATCAGTCTACAGGTGGCAACACTCAAACAATGGCGGGCTTTTTCTGATATTTATAATTTTAAATAAATATAAGATGTGTTATCCACACACTATTGATCAAAAATGAATCAGATTTACCCTTGGAAGATTCAATTATGTACCCCACTCATAAATGCAGAATATACATATATTAAAATATACCTAATTCCACTTCAACATGATTAATTTTCGGTCCATAAAGAACTGGAATTATATTATTGTGATCTAAAAGTGAAAAAAGGAAATATAAATTTATTAGTGTTGTATAGTCTTCTTTTAGACACATATTGGCATAATATGCTTTTTCAATGTAACAAAGATTTTAGTAGCATTTTATATGCACTTTAATTGTATTTTCACTGACTAAATGTTGTTGTTAACATTGTTTGTTATTTTACTTTCTATCTACTCCAAGTTCACATAATTGAAGACAGTATATTCAATCCAGGTTTCTCCTCACCACAGCTAAAAGACAAAGGAAAGTTCTTCTCCAGAAAGACTGTTACCAGACCTATGACCTGTTCAGGGGACTACATGGTCAAGAACAGGAGAATGAAACTAGTGCTGCGGAAGACGAGATTGAGAGTCAGGACTGATTCTTCTGAGATTCAAATATATCTGGGCAACCTGAATTGCTGCTAGGCAGGTATGAGGAACTGAGATGCCACCAGAGAAAGAGCTTACTCTAATGTGTGAGCTACTGAAAACCATGAGCTTGATGCAGAGACAAAGGAATAGGAGGTGATTTTGTGTAATGTGGAAAAATTGCTAGTGATGGCATAGTGCCTAAGGTATTCGACTGCTAACCAGAAAGCTGGTGGTTCAAATCCACCAGCCACTCCTAGGAAGAAAGATTGGGTAATCTACTTCCATAGTGATACCACCTCAGAAACCCAAGCAGGAGTCCCTATGAGTCAGATTCGACTCTATGGCAGTCAGTTTGGTTTTTTGTTTTTTTTTTTATCTTTTTCTAAGGAGCCCTGGTGATAGGCTACTAACTGAGAGGTGTTGGCGTTTCAAATCCATCCTGTGGGTCCATGGGAGAAAGACCTGCCAGTCTCCTTCCATAAAGATTATAGTCAAGAAAACTCCATGGGCACTTCTAGTTTATCACATGGGGTTGCTATGAGTCAAGAATCACTCAACAGTACCTAAAAACATCATCATTCTCCGGATCCATACTTTTTCTCAGGAAATTATGTGAAACCCTTGAGAAGAGGTGGCATAAAGGATGCCATTTACAAAAACTTGAATTCTATCACTGAAAACCCAGAGCAGCATCAGATTTATGTAACTGTTGACAAAGTGAAGGATGAAGTCCCATAAAGAAGAAAAATGGCAGATCAGTGTATGCACTTAGCCTGATTTGTCTACTTACGAAGCTAGCATCACAGCTAACATCAGAATGGCACAGAGATTATCAGGAGTAGAAGACATCACCAGGCAGCTAGAGCACAAAATGAGGAAAATGATAGTGAGGACTATGATTCATGAGCACAAGCCTAAAGCAATGATGCTCACCATGCTGAGATTTATGCCCATGACCATATGTGAACTCTTATAAAAATATAACACAGAGAAAGTGGGAGCTAAGAGTCCCACTGCCCTAGGATACACTCCAAGCTCCACATTTTAAAGGTCTGGTAGCAAATTTCAGCAAGTGCAAAGAAAAAAGAGTCTAGACTTCTTATTTACAAGGCATCAATGATTCACTCAACACACATGTAATGAGATCTACTATATGCAACGGCTAGACACAGATACAGAAGATGCAAAGATGAGAAAGATAACCCAGTTCAATCTCTTCTTTCCAGAAGTTTTTCAATCTATTTATGCCACAGAGTTCCTAAGTTTCCTTCTATTATGTTCTTTGATGATCTTTATAGTTTTAGGATTTACATTTAGATCTTTGATCCATCTTGAGTTAACTTTGTATGGTGTGAGCTATGGATCTTGTTTCTTTTTTCTGCAAACAGATATCTAATTTTCCCAGCTCCATTTGTTACAGAGACTGCCCCTTCCCCAGTTAATGGACTTTGGTCCTGTGATGAAGTCCTGTTGTCCATAGGTGGATAGATTTAAATCTGGATTCTCAATTTTGTTCCATTGATCTATGTGTCATTGTTGTACCAATACCAGACTGTTTTGACCACCATGGCTGTGTTATATATAGGTTTTGAGATCTGGAAATGTGAGGCTTCCTACTTCATTCTCCTTCTTTAGTAATTCTTTGCTTATCCAGAGTCTCTTTGCTGTCCATATAAAGTTATTGATTAGTTTTTCCATCTCTTTAAAGAATGATGATGGACTCTGGATCAGGATTGAATTATATCTGTAGATTGCTTTGGGTGGTAATGACATTTTCACAATGTTAAGTCTTCCCATCCATGAGCATGGTATATTCTTACATTTATTTAGATTTCTTACTTTCTTATAGTAGTATTTTGTAGTTTTCTTTGAATAGGTCTTTAATATCTTTCATTACATTTATTCCTAAGTATTTCAGATTTTGGCTGGATATTTTAATTGGTATTGTTTTCTTGATTTCTTTTTCAGACTTCTCTTTGTTACTATAAAGGAATATACTGATTTTTGTATGTTGATCTTCTACTCTGCCCAATATGCTGAATTCTATTACTTCTAGTAGTGTTCTTGTTGATTTGCTGAGATTTTCTATGTATAAGATTATATTATCTGTGAATAGAGATATTTTTACTTCTTCTTTGCCAATATGGATGACTTTTATTTCCCTTTCTTGCCTTATTGCTCAGGATGTTGTTGTTGTTGTTATGTGCCATCGAGTCGGCCCTGACTCATAGCGACCCCTCCTTGGGTTTCCGAGGCAGTATCACTACAGAAGTAGGATAGGACTTCTAAAACAATGTTGAGTAGGCGCAGTGACAGAGGGCATCTTTGTTGGGTTCCTGTTCACAGGGGAAATGCCTTCAGTCTCTCTCCATTGAGAATAATGTTGATCATTGGTTTTGTGTACATGCCCTTAATTTTGTTAAGGAATTTCTCTGCTATCCCTATTTTGCAGGAGTTTTTATTAGGAATGGAATTTTGTCAAATGCCTTTCTGCATCAATTGAGATGATCATGTGGTTCTTTTCCTTTTTGATTATTTTGTGACAGATTACACTGGCCTTTTTTCCTAATGTTGAACCATCTATGCATATCTCGTATGAATCCCACTTGGTCATGATTTTTTTTATATGATGCTGTATTCTATTGGTGAGGATTTTGTTGAGAATTTTTGCATTGTGTACAAGGGGGATAGTGGTCTATAATTTTCTTTTTTAGTGATGTCTTTGCCTGCCTTTGGTATCAGGGTCATGCTTCCTTCATAGAATGAATTCAGTAGTATTCTATCCTTTTTTCTAGAAAAGTTTGAATAGCATTCAGCTCATCTCTGAAAGTTTCAGAGAATTTGCCAGTAAAGCCATCTGGGCCAGGACTTTTTTTTGTTGGGAGTTGTTTTATGATCTTTTTAATTTTGTCTTTTGTTATGGGTGTGTTCAAATTTTCTACCTCTTTTTGTGTTAGTTTAGATAGTGTGTTTCTAGAAAACCATTTATTTCTTCTAGGTTTTCAAATTTATTGAAGTACAATTCTTTACAGCATTTGTTATTATCCTTTTTATTTCACTTAGTTCTGTTGTTATGTTGCCTATTTCATTTCTTATTCATATTATTTGCATCTTTTCCTTTTATTTTGTTAGATTTGCCAGTCATTTTTTAATTTTACTAATCCTTTCAAAAACCTAACTTCTAGTATTGTTTATTCTTTCCATGTTTTTCTGTTTTCCTTCTGCTTTAATCTTTATTGTTTCCTCTCTTCTGGTGACTATAAGCTCTTTTTGCTGTTCTTTCTCTAGTCATTGTGATTTAGGTAAAAGTTTATAGAATGAATTGGTTTTCCATTCAACAATTCAGATACATTTTGGTCCATGACATGTATTGCAATCTCCACATTGGCACTCTTCCCATTTCTTCCCTGTGTTTTGCCCTTTCTGATGCCTTCCTGTCTTCTGAGCTTTATCCCTGGGCATACGTTGCTCATATGATCTTGTATGGTTGACTGTTCTAAGGAGCGGTACCTCCCTGGTGTTATTGTTCACCCTGTATGCCTATCTATTGTTTTGCTGAAAGTTGAGCCACAGGGATGAGTTGGATTCCAGGCTTGAAGGGGGACTTAAGGCCATAGTCTTGGGAGTTTCAGCAGTCTCTAGCATACTAGTGAGCTGGGTCTTTGTTTTATTATTTTAAATTTTGTTCCACAATTTTCTTCTGTCCTATCCAGGACCTCCTACTGTGATCCCTTTCAGAGCAGTTCCCAGTGACAACCAGGCACCACCTAGTACTCCTGGTCATGGAGACTGAGGTTCACATTGTCTATTAGTCCTTTGGACTATTGTTTCCATACATGTTTGATTTTCCTCACTTTTTTTTTTTTTTCCTTTGGATGGGGAAACTCCATTAGCTATACCTTAGATGGTCACTCAAAAGCTTTTAAGACTTCAATCCCTACTCACCAAAGTAGGATGCTGAACATTGTATTTATGGACTGTGTTATGTCATTTGACTTTAAGGTTCCCAATACATTAAGACTTGCTCTTTGTTGATTGCTCTTTACTTGATATATGCTTTTCCATCCTTTGATTTATAGCTTATTCTTATCTTAGTGTCTAAGGTGTGTCTTTTGATGGGTATTATTTTCTTAACCATTCTGCCACTCTTTGTCTCTTGATTGGTGCATTTAATCCATTTATATTAAATATAATTATCAATAGGTATGAATTTATTGCTGTCATTCTGGTGTTATTATTTGTGTGTGTGTGTGATATTGATGATAATTTTGTTCTGAATATTTTCTGTAATGAGTTCATTTTGTTTATGATTTTTCTTTTCATTTCCTTTGTTGCTGTTGATTTTGTGTTCACTGAGCTCTTATTATTTTCTTCTTTTTTATTTTTGTTAGAAGGTTTATTAATTTTCTTTGTGGTTCCCCTGTAATTTATTATTTTCTTCCTACATTTAGAATAATCCTCCTTTTTGCTTTGTGGTTGTCATTGTTTATAGATTAACATCTCTGGTCCCTTATTTTCAGTCTTGTAGGTTTAATTTTTAAAATTCTTTATCTGGATCTATTTCTGGGTGATGTTGTCATGTATCTTAATCTCAGGTGGTTGTCTGACATTGTTGGTTCTCTGTCCAAATTTTTTTTACAAATTTCCTCCATTAGTGCTTGTCTGGAAATGACCTAGTTTCACTGTCATATTTGAGTGTCAATTTTGTTCGATATATAATTCTTGGTTGGCAATTTATTTTTTCAGTCAGGGTTTTACATATGCTACACCATTGCCTTCTTGCCTACATGGTTTCTGCCAAGAAGTCAGAGCTTAGTCTTATTGGTAGGCAACATCTTGTTTTTCCTGGGCTGCTCTCGGGATTCTTTCTTTGTCTTTGGAAAGTTTGATTATGCTATGTCTAGGTAATTTTCTTTTTGAGTCTATCTTATTTGTAGTTTGTCAAGCTTCTTTAGTGGATACCATCTCATCTTTCATAATATTAGGGAAGTTTTCTGCTTACAAATCTTCAACAATTTTCTCTGTGCTTTTTCCTTTCTTTCTTTCTTTTTTTTTTTTTTTTTAATTTTGTTTTGTTTTGTTGTCTCTTCCTGTTCTGGAATTTTGATCAGACTTATAAAAGTTATTTCTCTTGATGGTATCTCACATAATTCTTAGGCTATCTTTATTTTTCTTCATTATTTTAGCTTATTGTTCCTTTAACAGATACTATTAAGGGATTTGTCTTCAATTTCTCTGGCTCTGTCTTCCACCTATTCAATTCTACTTCTTTGCCTTTCCAATGCATTATATATTTCTGAAATTTTTGTGTTAATCTTTTGGATATCTGGTTGCTGTTTTGTATAGCTTCTGATTGTCTGTTTATTTAATCAGTTTGTTCATGTATTGTCTTCCTGAATTCTTGTAGAGTTTTGTCTGTGTTTTGCTTGATTTTGTCTGATTTCCTTGGTGTTATATGTTTCCTTTGATCTCTTTCTTAATATGTTAAAAAGCCCTAAATATAATTATTTTGAATTCTTTATCAGTTATTTCCAATATCATTTCTTCCTGTAGAAGATTCTCTGGCCCCATATTTTGATGTTCCTTGAGTTCTTCTTGTCCTGTTAGTTTGTATGATTTACAGTTGTCTCTGAGACATGTTGGTGTTATTGTATTTATTCATTGATTGTATGTTGGTTTGCTTTGCTCTGATTGTTTTGTTTTGTTTTGTTTTAATGTATCTGGACAACGGGGTGAGTGTACTACTCAGGTTGCTAGTTTGGCAGCAAAGGACACTCACCACCTGTCTTCAAGTGGATTAGGTAGCAGGTGGGTGTGTGGAGGCAAGTCTCTGATCACTGGCCATTTAGAGCAGCTAACGGCAGTGTGGGCAGATACTGGCTGTCAGTGCAGTGGTGCTACAATATGTGGTGGCACTTGTCCAGTAGATGAGGCAGCAGGTGTGGTTGGTATAGCTAGTAGGGTCACTGGCTCCCAATTTTGATACTCAGGGTTCCAGAGTTGTCTTCTCTATCCAATCCACTTGTTTTTTCAGGTCTTTTTTGTAAGAGGGAAATCATTAGGTGTCTGACTAAGCCACCATCTTGCTCCAAACCTACTCTTCTCCTCCAGTTTCCTATCCCTTAGGAACTATGGGGCTTTGCATATGACAAACACTGGGGCTGAGGAAATTGCTCTCCTCCCCTGTTATTCCTCATACTAGCATATCCCCACAAGGGTACTTAATAAGAGGGAGGCAAAGGCAGAAATGTCAGAGAAGGATATGTGATGACAGAAACAGAGGGCATAGAAAAAGAGATATTGGGATAGATAGATGAATAGATGATAGATGATAGATAGATAGATAGATAGATAGATAGATAGATAGATATGAAGATGCTATGCTATGGGCTTTGAAAATGAAGGAATGAAGAGGAGTCTTATAGAAGCTGAAAAGTAAGGAAATGGATTCTTCTTTAGAGATTCCAAAAGAAATGCAATCTTACTGACACCTTGATTTTAGCTCAGTCAATGCATTTCAGACTTTTCACTTACAGAAATGTAAGATAATAAATTCTATTACTTTAAGCCACTAAATTTGTGGTGTTTGTGTTTATTTTTACCGCAGCAATACACAGGCATATAGCCACATCAATGGATAGCTGAAGTGAAGAGGAAAAAATGGTGCCACTGTAAAGGAGATTCATAACTGGAAGTCCATGATATTGTTGAATGAATCATCCATATGGGATTTAATGTTTCCAAGGGTAATACAAAAGAAAGTCTAGCCTGGATAAGTCATCTCTTTTCAAATATTTGAAGGAGATATCATTTTAAGAAGGGACTAGACATAATTTGTGATATGTTTTTCTAGTGGATAGAAATTACAAGGAAGTATATTTAGACTCAAAGAGAAAGAAGGATTTCTCAATAATCATTATCATTATATTAGAATCTGGACTAATTTTCTGTATGATTTTGTAATTTCCTGGATAATTCCCAAGAAGAATGAATAATTAATCACTATGCCATATGAAGGATATTTTCACTAGGTGAGGTTTAATTATATTATCTCTAAGCCTCTTGTCACTTCAAAATGCTGCTGTTGTTGTTGTTGGTATGTGCCGTCAAGCCGAACCCGACTCATAGCGACCCCCTCCTTGGGTTTCTGAGGCAGTATCAGTGCGGAAGTAGATTGCCCCATATTTCTTCTGAGGAGTGACTGGTGGGTTTGAACCTCCAGCCTTCTGGTTAGCAGTCAAGTGCTTTAGGCACTATGCTACCAGAGCTCCCTTTAAAATGCTAGATTTCTATTTTTTCCGTTATACACACTCTGTGTTTGTGACAAGCCAGAAAATTAGCTAACCTCCCCAAATGCACAGGCCTTTACCACCACCATACTTGTTTCCTGTCATTCTCTTATCCTAGAGTGACCTTTCTCCTGGAAGGCCTCTGGCCCATCCATCACATACAACCTCTAAGACCAAGCTGAAAGAGTGTTTCCTATCTCTGTTCTTTCTTCATACTTTCATACTATTAACTCCTCATATAGGATACCTGCTTTACATACCATGGTACCTGAATGCATTTTACTAGCTCTTCTGGATTATAAATTCCTTGCAAATAGTATGCTACCCACTTATTCATATTTAACATTTCTCTGCTTCCCTTGCCTCTTACTGGTCAGTACACTTTATTTGATATAAACTGGTTGCCATTGAGTCAATTCTGACTCATGGCAAAGCCATGTGTATCATAGTAGAACTATGCTCAATAGGGCTTCAATGGCCAATATTTTGGAAATAGATTTCCAGGTCTTTCTTCCAAGGTGTCTTTGGGTGAACTCTGACCTCCAACATTTTGGTTAGCATGTTCATTGCCTGCACGACCCAGGGCACCTTATTTAACATAAATATCCTTGATCAATATTTGTTCAGTGAAAAAAAACAACTTTAACAATAAAAGAGGCCACAATGTACTCAAATTCCAAATAAAAGAGAGATGTAACTCAAGTAAGTTTTACCCCTATACACTTTCACTTAAAGACCAAAAAAAAAAAAAAAAACCTGCTGGGTGAATAGATACCAAAATTGAGATTTTGATCCTTATGTGTAAGCTAATGGTGTGATCATGGCTCCAACTTAGTTCCCTCAGTTTTCCTATGCTACATTAGGAGAAATAAAAAGTTAAGTTTTATTCAGATACAGTTGTTTCTTATAAATTTAAAAAAAAAAAATTCTTACCTCCAGCTATTGTTACATTGAAGGTGTTGGTGACATTGAAGAGTTTTCCATTATAATCAAGGGAAAGCATGCAGGTGTAATATCCCTGATCTTCAAACTCTGCATTCTTCATAGAAATAAATGGGTTTTCATTGTTCTCTATTATCTGTTCACAGTTCTGGGTTTTTTTTTTTTTTAAAAAAAAAAACAAATTAATATAATTTAAGTAAAAGGAGACTTCTTATGACTTAAACTTTTAAAGTTAAAGATCTTTAGAGGATAAAGGAAACAGAAGGAAAACTAGTAATTTTAAAGTAAAAGTCCCAATGGTCTGGCACTGTTTTATTGAAACAATAAAATACAGTCCTATTACTATCTTGATCATTATTAATATATGCTAGGAAATGGGACATCTTAAGCATTGTAACCATCTTTTTCATTTTCTTTCAATCTCTTTCTCTCTTCCTCCCTCTCTCTTTCTCTCTTTCACACACATGCACATGCATACATACACAGAACAGTGAACAAAATATCCACACTTGGGCCAAAACGTTCAGCAAAATAATTCTATTTCAGAACATTACAGTTCAATTTTGTGTTCTCAAAACTACCATCCTGGAGGGTGGGTAGTAGAGGTGTAGGCTGAATTACTCAGAGAACAGAGTCTCTAGTAATTGACAAATCTCCCTTGATATTTTCCATCAGAAAGCAGTGGACTGATGAAGAGTGTATCAGAAATATCCAAATACATAGGCACTCTCAAACATCTATCATAAACTTCCATATAAGTCTCAGAAATTGAAAAAAAAAAAAAAAAAGAAAGAAAAGTAAAAAGTTGTCTCCTTCACTCCAGCCACCAATCACCTAAAGGGAAGTGCTGAAGCAATCCAGGGACCAGATGGGCAAAATGGGGGCTGCAATGCTGGCCCTGGCCGTTTGTCCATATTCTTATCAATACCAGAAATAGAAAACCTATTCTTGCAATACCAGATATGAGAACCAATTGTCCATAGACCTCTCCCTCAAAGCAGGTGGCAACTGGGGCTAATCTCAGTTTGGGATTGACAAGCACCCGCAGCTATACACTGAATCCCTAAATTGTTTGTACATAAGGCAATATTTTATAAACCAAACTGATTTTTTCTAAGACTTAAATGATTATTACCAGCAATTGCTGTCAAGTTGACTCCAACTCATGGTGACCTGTGTGTGTCAGAGTAGATGTGAGCTTCACAGGCTTTTCAATGGCTAATATTTCAGAAGTAGACTACCAGGCCTTTCTACTGAGGTGCTCAACTCGAACCTCTGACCTTCCAGTTCCACGCACGGATTCCCATTAAAACATCAGAGAGGCTGATTTTCACTTCCACGTCCAATCAACTATTCACTGATTCAGCTGTCTTTCTCCCCTCCCCTCAGGTAGATCATAAACACTCAACATGAGAATACCACATTCTTAACCCCATAGTGAACTGTCTGGTTAAAAACACCCTAGATACATCTATTTTCTAAATTTAAATATTTACACTCTGGGATTTCTTACAAAAAAGTACACGAAACCTCATCTGACAGGAAATAGAGTAAGGTCAACTCAGGTCTGACTCAAATGTTTAGAAAACCTCTCAGATAAGAGCACTTCTTAAAAAATCATAAGTAAACTATTTTCAAACAAAAGATACAAACAAAAGTTTCTGGTAAATAATCAACAGCTGCTTAAACTTTCCCAAGCTGTTCTGTTCAGACCACCTTCTCACAAGTTTCTAAAAATTTTTTGACAATCCCCTTAGTCAGGTTTGTGTCTCTTTCAAAATGACATAATTTGCATTAGTTTTTGTGTTTGTGTATGTGGGTATGTATGTTTGTGTGTATGTGTATTTCCATAGCAATGTGTAAAAGAGCTCTTGTAAGTCAACAGGAAAAGCCACCTCAACTGAGAAAAATAGACAAAGGAAATTAACAAGCAATCCATAAAAGTGGTAATATGATGATGTAATAAATACATGAAAAATGCTAATTTATTATGAAAAAAAGAAATGCAAAACCAATCAAAGTGTTACAGAAATTCTGCATGGTAAATTCCTAAACATTCTAATTATTATTTCCCAGTGTGGTGGAGTATGAGGAGAGATTTTTTTACTAGTTTTAAAAGCTCCTAAGGGAATAGTTTGATAATGTGCATCACAAGCCATAAATATGCTCATAGCCTCTTCCCAAGGAGCTCTGGTAGCATAGTGGCTAAAGCACTTGACTGCTAACCAGAAGGCTGGCGGTTCAAA